AAAGCAGTATATACAAGTTTGCAATATCAAGCATATGTTAGTAAAGAAGCATTTTTAAAATTCTTTTCTCCTACAAATGTCTCAGAGTGAATTATTGAGACTTTAAATACCAGTTAATAGAAAGGAGTGCACTCTGTGGAACTTGAAGCTATTCTCTGCTGTGGACCTCTCTAAGTCTACTGTGTAGCAAAAAGAAAATTGTACCAGAAATTCAAAACTGTGCAACAATTTAAGGAATTCACTAGGTTTTAACCAAAAGTTTTGATTCTGTAGGAGAGAAATCTATGGGTAGAAGAATGCATTAAGGGCTCTTATGGAACTTGTGGGGTGCATATTGCCCACCCCAATGTGGGGTCTTTAGTTCAGTTGTACAGCACATGCTTTTGTATATAGAAGGACCCAAATTCTACTTCTGACATCAGAAGAGCTAGGACAGAATTTAGCCCCGAACCCTGGAGAGCTGCTGCCAGTCAATGTGGAGAATACCAGGCTCAGTCTAGACCAAAGGTATGACTCAGTAAATGGCTGTGTCACAGACTTCTCCTCTTGCTTGGCAGCTCCAGGGTGGCAGTATGCGAATAGGCCCAGGCAGCCCCAGCAGCCCCACGCAGAGCTCACAAAACAGAGGCTGGTGCCTGGTTTTCCTTGCACATTGCACCCAAGTGTGTACACCTGAAATGTAGGAAGTGGCTTACTACTGAGTCAGAGCAACCACATCCTGGTGGTTCTAAACTGTGACACTTATCAAGGAGAGACACCTTCAGGACTAGCTATAAACAAAGTGGCAGCTCAAGTGAAGGCATTGCTTGATCTCTCCACTACTTGCTCAGCATTTGAATAATATATTTTTATATGTTATTTGTCAAATTCAGTGCATTGTAGGTCAATGGAGATTCGACTTACAGACTTTTCGACTTGCAGCCACCATTCCAATACGGATTAATTCCTTAAGTAGAGGGTCCACTGTATGATTCAACCCCATCACAGATGCCAAAGCTGCATGCTCGATTCTGGAAATGAGTAGGGCTTTTTTTAATATATATATTTTTGAGCCGGGTTGGAGTGATGCTTGTATGCACAAAAGGGTCACTTTAAGGCAGATCGCTCACAGCACAGTGGCCCTTTCCAAGATCCTAGAACACTATCTGGCTGCCCCCTTAGTCTTTAACCTAGAGCTAGAAAGCAGATGCAAATTGCTGCATGCTCGATTCTGGAAATGAGTAGGGCTTTTTTTAATATATATATTTTTGAGCCGGGTTGGAGTGATGCTTGTATGCACAAAAGGGTCACTTTAAGGCAGATCGCTCACAGCACAGTGGCCCTTTCCAAGATCCTAGAACACTATCTGGCTGCCCCCTTAGTCTTTAACCTAGAGCTAGAAAGCAGATGCAAATTCTCTGTTCTGAGAACAGCTCTTCCCATTTAAATTTGAGTGATGCAGATGGAGAATTTTGTTCCCTTTTGGTTGAAAGAATTTGCTAAAATTTGCACTTTTTCTTTTTAAAAAGACAGAGCACCTGAAGATTTAAAAATCTGAGTACAGGAGAAAGTAAAACTGACTGATTATCCAGTGCCTATAGAACACAGGCTTTGGGGAAAAGGAATTGGGGGAAGGAGTGATGAAAACACATTAATATTTTGGGGCAGCAAATTTTTTCTCATCCTGAAAAGAATTAACTTCTGTTTCAAGGTGGTGTACGGCTTCCCATATTCCTCTGTAAACATAATTGTTCGTGGCAATTGTGCCTAGATTTTTGAAACATAGTTTGAAGCAGTTATTGATACATCCAGTAAACACAAAGAATTTCCTTAAAGTCTAATCTCTTCCTAAAAGGATGAACTTCCTTAAAAAAACCTTGTCTGTACCAAATAGACACAGTTTCCTTTTTTCTGTTCTGTTTTCTTTTGAACAAAACATCCTTCCCCCACTTTTTTCTTTTTCTTCTCTTTTTGGCATTGTGTGAATAGGTGGGTATTCTGTAAGATTCACATCATCAGAAAATACCTGAAAGTAAAAATGATTTGATTTGATCTATGCCCTAATTTTCTACTGGGGGGGGGAGGAACAAATGTGGTTTAGTCTTTAAAAAAAACTGAATTAAAAACTAAAATAATAGATTATTACAGTATTTAAAATAATTATACAAATAATTAAAACTAGTAGATAAAAGTTCTAAACCACATTTAAAACAACAGAAATACAACAGAACCATCTAAAGAACCCTATCTTAGGCAGCCAGTCATTAAGTAAAAGGCTGCCTGAAGAGAAAGGTATTTGCCTATTTGTGGAAGGAGAGCAAAGATGGGGCCAGCTTAGCCTCCTATGGGAGGGAGTTCCAGAATTTGGGAGCAGCAACAGAGAAGACCCTTTCCCGTACCTCACCAAATGTACTTGTGAGGGTGGTGGAACAGAGAGAAAGATCTCCTCAATTATCTTAAAACCCAAGCAGGTCTATATACAGAGATGTGGTCTTTTAGATAGCAAATAATAATCATTATTGTTATTGTTTGTTGTTATTGTTTGTGTCAGAAGCAATCCAGTGGAACTTCTGGAGTGGAAGGGTGAGCTGACACAGAGCTGCTGTTGCTTAGGGGTACCCAAATGTGTACACAGTTTTCACATTCTTCAGGGAGCTCGTTCTGCATCCCTTCCAATGATCATGATTGTTTTGCGAGAGGCGTCCAAAAGAGCTTTTTCAAACCTGGTGCCTTCCAGATATGCTAAACTACAACTCTTGCTGCCAGACGAGAAGTGGCTGGGGATGATAGGAGCTGTAATTTTAAAACTGGGCTTTAAAATCAGATGGAAATTAAATGAATGAATAAATGAAATACTTCAACACATTTGGAGGGCACCAGAGTGGGAACTACTGAGTTTAAAATAGCAAAGTATGATGCTTATAATGCTTAAAGCATTGTCTGGGCAGTTTACAATTTAATTAGACAGGCTACCACCCCACCCCCCGAAAACTGGGTACTCATTTTATCTATTTCGGAAGGATAGAAGCCTGAGTGAACCTCAAGCGGCTACCTGAGAATCAGGTCATGAGCAGAGTTTCATCTACATACTGCAGTTTAACCACTGTGCTATGAGGCTAATGATATGGTGGTGAGTATAACACAGATGGACTGGAGGCATTATGGAGATTTTTAAAGCTTGGGCTGCATATATGCAACGTGTATTTTAAAAAGAATGTTTTTAAAATTTCTTTACAAAAAGAATGAATCTTTTTGTATGAAACAAAATAGTCTCATGCAATGTCGGGTGAAAATAACTCCCATTGCAGAAGGTGTTCAAATTTAAAAAATGATGCAAAGGAAAGATCATTGGGAAGGGAAAATGCCATTTTGTTGTGGTTCTGGATTGAATCAGAGACCCCTTTGCTTTGTCTGAAAAATATGGGAGATTCAGGAGGTTTGAGGTGGGGCTTGCACAATATACTCTGTACTGAGGGGTGCTACTTGGTGGATTTTCCTCAAAAATGGGCAGTCTGTCGCCCATTGGTGTCATGCATCTCCTAAGACAATTTCTGTGGGCTCACAAAATCCTCACAACATCTGTTTCTTTTCTTTTTCTTTTCATTATATACCTAAAAGGTACCAGTCACAACCCCAGAAGACTTTGGGGTATCATTTCAGGCCATTGGAATGGTACCCCCTGTTTCAGACTGCAATTGACTTACAGTATTTAAAAAGTGAAACAATTGGAGGTTATTGTCACTGTTGTTCCCCCTCCCCCAGATCTCCTTGTGGGGTATATGTATGTTGGGTACATGTTACGACAGAGAGAAGGGAACAAAGTGGGTGGAGATGAATTGGCTTGTCCTCAGTGTTAGTGGAGACATTAAATGATTCCCATTTGCACTTTCACCTTGTGCACAAATGTCATCAATTGTGAATATTGAAGTAGGTTTAAAAATTGTGTTGTTTTTCCTCAGTTGCTCCAAAAAACGCAGAGGGAAGGAGGGAGGGAACATGTTTTGTTGTTCGTTGTTTTGAATGTTTTACCTTTAACATACATTCCATATCTTGCATCTATTCTGTTTCACAACCACATGAAATAGAAATAGGTGGGCTTGTTTTAACTCAACTGTGATCATTCAAGTAATGTACGGGATGTACTATTTCATCTATTATGTTAAAGCTTGCTGTTGCACTGTAGATTGTGTGAGGTCCACATTTGGAAGGGTTGACCTGAAAGAGATGGGGTAAGCCCTCTCTTCTCGGACCACTACTTACCAGTGTATGTAGTATTCACCCCCACCTGTGCAAATTCAGTGGGAGTGAAGCTTTGCACTTCATATATTGGCTCTTATAGTGGAATAGATGTTTTAAGTGACTCGATAAGGGATTGAAAAGAGAAAGGTGGGAAACATTTTACTGTGTGATAAATATGACCGAAAGGTTTTTGGGAAGAGTGTATTGCAATTAGCAGCAAACAAGATTTTTGAAAGTTAATTGTTTAAACAAAGACGTCTTGGAAACAAGTTAGGTAGACCATTTTCTTGGACACAGATACTCTCACACATACAAAAAGAAATACAGTTCTGGGTGGAGTAAAACCTTTACTGGATCATTAAAATGTTACAAAGGAGATTTTGACTTTCCAGGACTCTTCATCAGGCAAATACAAAATGTAATTTATAATTAAGGCAAAGAGTCTAAAAATTGGGTCAGATGACTGTTGCAAATTGTTTACTCATAAGGCATATGATAAAGTTTATATATTCATCATGAGACAGATGTGTCAAATCTGGCCATTTACAGTCTCTCTTCTTTCTACAGAGAAAGGTCTGGCTTGGACCTCTGAAGGTCCACTGCCTCGGGTGAGGTTCACAGGCATCTTTATAGGTCCTGGGGAAAAAAATAATTGGGACAAAATAGCTGATTCTGTGTCAGCAAATTGACCTGAAACATTGACTATCTCAACATGAATTGGTTCATCATGTTGTATGATTTAATGGGAACTCTCCTTGAATATTTTTCTTATTTCTCCTCAGTGCTGTACTTGGAAGGGTCTCTGCTTGTGTTTGAAGATATCTTCAGACTGGTTGCATTCTACTGTGTCAGTAGGTAAGTAGAAATCTTAGCCAACCCAACTTCCCTTGGGAGGGATGGAGTTTTGCCATCCGTGTTCTGTTACAGGGAAACCTGTCAGCCTAGGATTCTGCAGTGTTTGGACATGCAACAGAACATTTGCTGGGGATCTCAGACTCCAGGCAGGTACTTATAAGAGTAATCCACAGTTTTCCAAATCTCCTTTCCTGAAGCCATTTAGGACTTTTTAGATCAAAACCAACGCCTTAGATTAAGCTCAGAAGCAAATTGGAAACTATGTTTCTAATTTGCTTCTGAGAGTTTTTTAAATGGACTGTTGTACTCTGTGGTTTTACATGTGTTTTAGTATTGATTTTATCTTCTGCAGTGTTTGGACATGTTTTATTTATTGTTTTTAATATAATACTTCTTTAATTCTTTTGAAATATTTTATACTTACTGTTTTAGTTTGCAAATTCTTTTTTAATGATGTAAGCCAGTGGTTCTTAACCTTGGGTAACTCAGGTGTTTTTGGACTTCAACTCCCAGAATCCTTCACCACCAGCTGTGCTGGCTGGGGTTTCTGGGAGTTGCAGTTCAAAAACACCTGAGTAACCCAAGGTTAAGAACCACTTCTGTCTCTTTTAAGGAGAAAGGCAGGATAAAATTATTTCAAATAAATAAATTTTAAATAAATGTTTCAGTTTCAAGACTTATAGTATATAGTCTCAAAAGCACATATCAGAAAATTATAACCTGTGGATTGCGGAATAGGAAACTATTAATGAGCAATCAAATCTACATGATGGCATAACCAGCTTGTGCTAACAAGCAACACTGGCCAGCATACCTAGTGGTGAAGGCTCCTGGGAATTTTAGTCCAAGAACATCTGGGTACAAGGTTAGGAACCACTGTTCTAAATTAGGGGTCCCCAAATTTTTGAGCGTGAGGGCCACATCATATATTTTCCACATTTTTAAGGGCTGAAGGATCATGCACACACATACGCGTGGCCACCCGCACTCATGCATGCATAGACCTCTGGAAAAAAGCATGCATGGATGGACACGCCTCCACGTGGATGCCCACCCGCACACACACATGCATCCCTGCCCACCCACGTGAGCGGGCTGAAGGGAATGAGACGGATAAAATGGCAAGGTGGGCTGGATGTGGCCCGCGGGCCATTGTTTGGAGACCTCTGTTCAAGAGCATAAATGTTGGCTCATCAGATATTACTGAATATCATTTCTCACTAGCTCACCATGGTAAGGAATTATGCGAGTTGTAGTCCAAAATACTTGGAGCGCCAAAGCTTCTCCATCCTTGGCATAAGCTATGTATTTCATTTCCATCCCTCATACTCTAAATTTGCCTTTTTAACTGTTTTTGTTTCGGGAGGCGGGCATAGATTTGTACTTATAGTAGCATATTTAGTTTCCATATACACTTACTAAAAAGTAGTGGAGTTGCAATTTGATTTCTGGTTGTTGTTCCTTTTTTAAAAAAATTGTCATGCAAATAATTAAGCATTTGCTAAAATTAAACATTTGGACTCGCCTTGAGGAAACTTGTGGTTAAGTAAAATTGCCTCCAAGTGAATGCACTTCCTAAAGAAAACCCGGTGTGCACATTTTTGGTTAATGCAAGAAAAGCACTGGTTGAGGAGGAGGAGGGAAGTGGCTATAGTGAGGTAATTGCAAGCAGCCTTTCTGGGATTCGCCAAGCAAGCAGTTTGTTCAGTGCTCATGCTAATCATGTGCGTGGGGGGGGGGAGACTTCCTATAGTGCTTAAAAGCTATAGCTGAACTCTAGGCAGCTACAAAGGAACCCAAACTGACCTGTTGCAAGCTGTTTTTAAAATAAATATAACTGACCTTGGCATGGGAATAGCGACAAACTCTACTGATGGATCTTAAAATATTTTGACCATGTATGGCCCATGGCAACAGTCAAATCTTATTTGTTCTTCTCCTTTCACGAAAATATAAGCATATTTATATCACTTCTCACATGATCCCTATTCTGCCCTTTCCATCAGCAGAACATTGGAGGAGAAGCACTTTTCACATGGGCAGAAATCTTGCCATCTTCACGTTCTCCCACATTTCCTCCAATGTGCTCAAGCCATGGCATGCAATATGGCCTTTCTGTCATTTCCTCACAATGACATTATGAGGCAGGCAACAGAGAGAATGTTATTGATCCAAGTTCTCTCAGAGGCATCAGTGTCTTGGCAGAAGTTTGAAACTGAACTTCCTGCTCAAAGCCCCCCCTTCTCTCTCTCTCTCTCTC